GGGACGAGGTCAGGATTATCAAACAGATGGTCGATGGACTACCTTTAGCAGACAACAACCGTCTGCCCTAAACTTTACACTGGTTCCCTGCACTCAGCGACCTAGCACTAGTGCAAGTTCTTGAAAAGCCAGTCTGCTGTCGCTATTGCTCTGTTCCTTTTATATTACAATTACACAACAATTCTTTGTTGCAATGTATCTTGTCATTCTCGTGCATGTGCCTTCAGCAGCTTTCAATGAAGTAACGTGGAACAATGAGGAAAAAATAAGTATGAAGCACACAACAATGCTTTTTAATATTTTAATTTAAAAAACACCCTTTAAAATGAATGGTAATGTTCAGTATGTAATAATTAAGCCATAAATGAATACCTCTAAATATATAGTTTGCTTAATATGGCTTTAAATCAGGCCAAGTGTAAGTTACACAAACGATTCTATTCAGAGTAATCTTTTTATACATCATTTCCCTACATCCCTGTCAATAAAATAGCAGTGACTGCAGAATAAATGATTCATTAGGCACTTATAGCTTCTTGTCTCATGTAATTTATCTATATAATTTTAAATTACTAGAGACTCTCAAGGATCTTTTCTCACCAAAGTATTTTGAAATTATCCATATTTTATTAAGTTTCAAGGACAACCCTGCACACACACACCCGCACACCCTCACATTAGAAATTAAGTAACCATTTAAGTTGCTGTCATAATTCGCATATTCAAAGCTAGTGCTAAGGTAGGAAGTTACATGTAGCAAACCATTCACCCTTTTTCAGCTGTTACCCAGCCACTGGCGGCTGCAGGAGTGGAAGCTATTTTAACCCCCTGAAGGAGGAACACCACTTTCACGTTTCATTGTTTGTCTGCCTTCCGAAATGCGGTGCCCTCCTGGTCGCTGTACTGTACATAAAGTAGGCATGAGTGTTCTTCAAGTTGTTATCATTTCCTGCATTAGCCCCAAAATAAAAGTGCAATGTAGCCAAATGTTAAATTATTGAAATTACAAATGTGTTAATCTATAGCACATTTTACTCATTTGTGTAATTTTAAAATTCACTTTCATTTGATTGACTGTTTTAATCTTCCTTAACTAGTGAGTAACTGAAAATAAATGGTGCATTCCTAATACTGTAAGCACGAAAAGTCGGAAGCACTGAGGGAATATATTAGAATCAGTCAGTGTTCTAGTTCACATATTCTTATTCTGTTTGTGTACAAACCCACTGCATTGAGAAGACACATCGCAAACTCGTGGCCTCACAAAAACACTGCCCCGGGTTCATATTTTGACAGCAGAAATTGGCCCAAATCCCTAACCATCTCCTCGGGAGGCCCCGGCTGGCTGGTGCCGGGCAGGGGCACAGTCTGAGGAGGGGAGCAGCGCCCCAGGCTCCCCTCGGCTGCCAGGGCAGCGGATCAGCTCCTGAGAGGCTGAGACTGGCTGCTTGGGACCAGGGCGCCACCAGCCTCGCTGCGCAGGGGACAGCGGCTGCGGGTAAGAGCCATGCGGGGCCCCCGCCCCAAGCAGGTGAGGAGGCGCTGGACGGCCTGGCTCTCCCTCCGTGCGGGGCCTGAGTGAAAGATCTGTCATTTTTCACATTTCCTGCATACTTGGTATGCACATGGTGTCCGCCGGCTCCTGCTTTATGAAAGAGACAATTTTTCAAGCTTAGGCAAATGTGGCAAAGCTCAGGGTCTGCTGGGGTCTCATTTTTTCTCATCATGTCACTTGTTTTAACTGATTTGAGAAAATGAGATTATGTTTTTCCTCTTTGCTCATTTATCCAGCTATTTGTTTATTTATTTGCTCATTTAGAGGTGGATTGTCACAGAGAACTGGCCTGATTTCTCTCTTGTTTTCATACACATTTCATTAGTGTCCCTGAAGATTTAAGACCACAAAGGGAAACATCCCAACTCTCATCACAAAAATCATACATTTACTTTTAAAATCAAAACAGAAGACTGTGTTAAAGAAGACTCCTCTGAATGAAATAATCTAGAATATTGCTATGTCCAAGATCTATTGCTTTAATATTTTCAGCTATTCTTGAAAACCCAAGAAAGTTGAATAAACATATTAGCTACATTAGACTTTCAATTTAATATTGTTTTAATCTTTCTATATCTAGAAAGAAGTATTTATAGTTTCTTCATTTCATCAATGAATCTGAAATGAGTCTCAAATGTATCAGCACTTGGGGTGGAAATTAGTTTCAGTGCTAGTTTCCTGGGCATTTGAAGCACAGATGGATGGTGTAACACCATGCGTTGGTCATGATAAGCAACTTCTAAAGGTAGGCAATGAGAAAACTAACACTGAGTTTTATTTGTCAGAACCTAATGATGTATTTCTGAGTTTAAAATTGTAATATGTTGATAATAAACCTCATAAAGACATGAGTTTACTTATTACAAGTAGCATGGACATAACCCCTCACCAAAAAATCTCAAAGATTAACTGATTAATGGAGACGGTGTACATGAAAGCTCATTGCAAACTGTACTGTTTTTCGGGACTGTGTGCCTAGAGCGGAAAATAAGACACATCACATTGGGTGATATATTCTAGCCATGTACCTACAGTTAAAAAACAACAGTAAGAGTAAAAACCAAGTTTTTGACCTGACTATGTGCATGGACTAGATGTGTGAACAGCAAAGTTTGGTCACCTAGGTCCCTAACACGTCTCAGTCTATTAAGTGGGATGATGAAGAGCTTTACAATTCACAAACACTTTCAAGGATGTTATGCCATTTACACCCCCACAACATCCCCAAAGGGGAAACTGAGCTCAGAGAAGAAAGTGACTTGCCCAAGGGCAGGTCACTGATGTTAAGTGGCAGCGATGACGGCCAGTCCCCAGCTCTGCCACGGCGGTGGGCCACCACCCACCAGCTCGGCCACGGGCTCCGTTGAGAATGGGTGTGCAGTTCAAAGAAGTCATGGATTGACGCACCTTGAAAGTTTTCACAAATTAGGCCAAGAGGCTCCTAATTCCCCAGGGGCTACTTGGCAAGACTATGGTCTGCACGGAGAGACAGCACTTGGGGACCAGGCTCCGGCTGAAGCCGGACCGGCCTGTCCCCGACAGCAGGCTGTGCGGTCTCAGGCTGTCCCGGTCCCTCAGAACTTCGTCTCCAAGGCAGA